GTACGGAGCAACGAAAGCAGTGGCAGAAGAAGGGGATCCAGCACTGCGCGAGCGCGCGGAGAAGCTCCAGAAGGATATGCGCCAGTTCTGGGACGAGCGGCTTTCGCAGGTATCTCTTCCAGTGGTGGCCCGTGCAGCTCAGTACTTCCGCGTTCGTGTGCATCGCAAAGTGGAGGGCCAGAAGGACAAGGCTACGTTTCTGCTCAAGACGGACCTGCACGACTCGATGGGCTCGGTGATCGGACCCATGATAGAGACGCTGGTGGCAGTGGAGGGGGGCTCCTTTCTTTCAGGGGCAGCGCCGCGCGGTCCGCTCGAGAGGGAGATATCGAAGTACCTGGATCGGAAGGACACGGCGTGAGTCTGTCTCAGCCATCGGTGTGCAACGCCTTAATCTCTGAGCCCCCGCCTGGGAGCTCTGGGCCTTTGGCTGGGACAGTGAAAGTGGATTCTCTTGGTGATGAGTGTATCGTCGCTGAGGCGCCTCCCCCGCCCGCCTGTGCCAGCAGTAGCAGTGTGACTGACAGTCGTGAGTTGTTAGCTAGCAGGCTTCCGATGATGGCGAGTAGTCAGCGTTTAGCAGCACTAGTAGCAGCAGGAAGTATAGCACATGATGAAATAGCTCGGGCAGTAAGTAGGCCCCCAGCTAGTCTTCCAGAAGGTTTCGCAGCAGCATCAGCTCCTGAGATTCCTGTAATTAATATGCCTTCGAATCGTGGCCGCGGCGGCCGCACCCAAGGGAGGGGGTGGCGGGGGTCGAGCTCTGGTGGGCGGGGGAAAGGACGGGGTCGCCGCGCCTAATGTATGGGCCCCCTCTGAAGGCTGCGTGCCTATAGGGGCGCTCATCGGCCAGTGCAGTCTTTTGCTGTGAGCCTGAGAGGGGCTCGCATCGTCAGTCGTCTGGTTTCGAAGGAACCCTCTCAGAGTACAGTCAAGTTTTTTCGGGCTCGTAGTCGGTTGCTTGACAGGGACTCCATGAGGATCTGCTCTGCTGTGTTCCTCCTCCTCCTGCTCCTCCTCCTGCTCCTCCTCCTCCTCCTCCTTGATCCTTGATCCTTCCTGGAGGCGTGGCCGAGTCGACCACACCTCTCGATCCAGCTCGGGGCCGCGCCGCGAGCGGGGCCCGACGCAAGTGACATGCGCCGCCCGGAAAAAAGGCAGACGATCGCGCGAGCCAGCCGGGACCGTTGCGCACCGGACCTCTGCCTGCCACAACCAGCTCGGTGGCCCGCAGAGCGGGGCCGCTCCCAGCGCTGGCACCCCGAGAAGCAGGACCGCAGCAGCAGTAGATCATCCTCAGGCTTGGCGACCCGAGGCCGAGGAGCGGGACCAGCCCAGGAGCCGGCACCCCGAAGAACGGGGCCATACCAGCCATCAATAAGGCGCCGCAGATCAGTAGGGGCCTCACCGCACGCGGGAGCCCGATGCAGAAGCAAGGCGCTGGCACATCCCGAGGGGCGGGGCCATGCCAGCAGCACGCACCTCCGAGGCCCGAGCCCTGGCGCCCCGCTGAGCAGGGCAATGCCAGCCATAATACCAAGCCACACACAGAGGTGTGGGCCCACGCCGCACACGGGGGCCCGACTCCACCAGCAGAACACTCGCACCCCGAAGAACGGGGCCACACGAGCCGTCACATGCCGCGAGACGGGCGGCCCGAGAGGAGCGGGGCCGCACCAAGCCAGCAGAGAGAGCAGGACGCCGCAACGCAGCGCTGGCGCCGCGCAGGGCGGGACCGCACGAGCCATCAGCACACAGCTGGCAACCCCACATCCTCTGCCTCTTCCTCCTACCTCCGCCTCCTCCTCCTCCTCCTCCTCCTCCTCCCCCTCCTCCTCCTCCTCCTCCTCCTCCTCCTCCTCCTCCTCCTCCTCGGAGCGGACCCACACCAGCGATACGTCCACCCCTCACAGATGAAGATTCCGGTAGCCGAAGAGCTGGACCGCGCCAGCATAGCAGCAGCTCACCAACATCCGCCAACTCTGGGCCCGCCCTAGGCCGGCGGCGCCACCTGGGGACCAAGACAGCTGTCTCTGCTTCACCCCGTTCCGCCGAAGGGGCTCGGGATACGCCGGACACGCCGCTCAGCACCCCAGCAGCCGTCTCCACATCGCCCCGTTCCCCCGAGGGGGCTTGGGATCCGCCGGACGAGCTACTAGGCGCACCAGACCATGCCCACAGCCTTGTCGCAACACCCGATGTGTCAGCCAGGAGCTCCGCGAACACGGTTCCGTCGCAAAGAGCTTGAAAAACCGCCGAATACACTTCGCCTGCGTTCTTTTCTCCTTCTCCCCTGTGGCGACTCCCCGACATTTGAGCACGGGCTCGATCAGCTCGCCACCAGTGTCAGACGACATAGCAGGAACACCCCGCGCACGCACACACAACCGCACACACAACCGTATCGCCTGCCAACAAGGGGACGATATGCTCCAGCTGCCGAAACATAGCATAAACCACCACCCGAGAACCATCACCGCGGGCTTGCGAATCAGGGTAAAGCTCCGCTTCACCAGAACGCAAAACCACAACGGCAGCATCGAGCGCCACCCGAAATTTCCCGGGTCGCCGAACCATGAAGCTCGCCGGTTCCCCCGAACGAAAAGCGGCATCCATTCTCAAACGCTGACACGCGGATGGTTCGCACGCCTCCTGACCCCCAACCCCAGGTTAACCACGTGGGCAAGGGTGCATGCGACCGCCCCGCAGCTCCGACACCCCAATCGCATGCTACGGCTGCAGCTTAAGAAGATATGCCCATCCAGCACCACTCTGTCGCACTGCTGCCTCAAAGGAGGTGGTGCACGATCGTCTGTCCACAACAGCTGCTGAAGGAGCCTGGTAAGCGTACGGCTGAGGTACCTGACCAACAACCATTGTTCATCGAACATTGGTCGAACAAACGATGGACAGCCACTAGAAATCACGGCACGATCTGCCCTCAGCTCGGCAAAAATATCTGCCCGACAGTTGCCCAGAACCCACGCCAGACCCAGGCCTGGTGCCCCCCGCCCTTCCACCGCGCCCAAAGATTTCCAAATGAGATGAAACCATCTCAAGCTTGGGAACCTCTGCGCCAGCACCAGCGACCACCTCACGCATAGACCTCCAAACTCCAGCCCGAGTCGCTTCTGCGCCTTCGTCGGCTCGGCTCCACCTGCTTCCTGATTGGACCAACGCCTGCCGATCCAAGGTAACCATCGACGCACTATTGTACTATTGCAAACCGCTCAGCCATTCCAATGGTGCGCTGTCGCTCAGGCAACCCACCACAGGCAGCTCGAATCGGAAGCCCATGCAGTGTCGTCTCAACCGCTGCCCAATCACACCTGGAAGTTCCCAAAAAGTTGAAGGCTTGGCCGAATCACCTGTAAACGAGCAAATGCCCCGCCATCATCTTCTTCATCATCATCATCATCATCACCACCACCATCACCATCACCATCACCATCACCATCATCATCACCATCACCATCACCATCACCATCACCACCACCACCACAATCAGCAGCAGCAGCATCATCATCGTCGTGGTCAGCAGCAGCAAAATCATCACCATCATCATCGTCCACATCCTCCTCCGCACCCTCCTCCTCCTCCTCCTCCTCCTCCTCCTCCTTCTCCTCGTCCTCCTCCTCCTCCTCCAAACAGGAAAGGAGGCGCGCCAGCCGCAGGGCGTACGCCGCGGCGGATGTCAGCGGCAGCTTCCGCCGCCTCGCTACTCGTGAGGGGGCTGGCGACTGTACACTCCGAGCCCCCAAGTCAGATCCGCTGGCCCAGGATGGCCAGAAGCTCGAGGATATCGGGCCTGAGGTCTTTGCTGCGGCCTTCGGCCTCAGGGTGGCACCCTCGGGCTCCGGGACCGGAAAAAGAAGCAATGCAGGATGAGGAGCCGTTCCAAGAAAACGGGTCGAGATAACCGGGGCCCCAGAGCTCGAAAATGTCGAGCCGTCGAAAATCTGGGTGCCGCGATGGCCCAGGATGCCAGAGAGACCCGGGATGGCTCAGAAAAGCCCGAGATGGCCCCGAGAAACCTGGGGGGAACGGCGGCAGAGGGCGCAGACATTCAGATACATGTACCTCCATTTGCAAAAGACAAAAAATCGTCGGCTCGCCCTGACAGAACGCGAGTCTGGCACCTGGTGCGCCGACAGGCCTCTGACCACGCGCGACTTAGAAGGGGAAAGAGAGAGACTATCGCCGAGGATCTCGGACAGCAGGCTCTGGGGGGGTTAGGGGCGCGATGGTCGGGCGCGGAGCTTGCTGCATTCCGAAGAGGGGGACGAGCCTCGCTTCCTGCTCAGAAGTGCGAGCCTTCCCGCCAGCGTGCACTCTCTCGTCATCCCCCCGTGCGTGCGAGTCCATAACCGAGTAGAGCTTCAGGATTCCTGACTGAGCACACTACCGAACCCCGACACCTAATCAAGCACAGCAGCGGCCAGAGCGGCAGTCGAAGGGCAGAGGAGGGAAAGGAGAAGAGGAGAAGAGGAGGAGAAAGCACGAGCATAGGCAGGAGGAGTGGCAAGGAGGAGGAGGCAGACGACGACGAAGTGGTGAAACAAGGAGGGAGAAGTGGAGGAGACCAAGGACTAGAAGGGCGAGGAATATGAACAGGAGGGCCAGCGATGAGGAAAGGAGGAAGACCATGATCAGGATCAGGATCAGGATCAGGAGCAGCAGGAGGAGCAAGCGGGAGACGAGGCGGAAGAGGTGGAGCAAGAGCGAAGAGGAGGCGAAAAGAGGAAGGGGAAGAGGAAGAGAAGGGAGGAGAAGGAGGAGGAGGAAGAAGAAGAAGAAGAAGAGCGAGATACGGTCGCGGCAGATCGGGAGGGTAAAGAGAGTAGAAGGATGAAGTGAGAGAGAGAGAGAGAACCCGAAGATGAGCATCCTCAACAGGGAAGAGTCGTGCGGAGGCCGTGCGCCGTCGCCTCACAGGGCCGTTGGTCGGCCAATTACTACTGCGCTCGCTTGCACCGTGCACTGAGTGGTCCATTGGCAAGTCAAACTGGGGAGACTAACAGGTACCGATACCGAGCTCCCCAGACATCCGGAGCTGCGTTCTAGTTGGAATTTCGAGGAGAATCCAGCTGTGGCGACGAGGGCTCCCCAGGACGAGCAGCGGTATCGGCACGCGTCCCTCCTCCGACATAAGATATGAGCAAATTCCGGGCGGCGCTGGGCAGTCACGGGGGGCGGAGGCAGCGTGCTGCAGGGCAGACGCGCCAGAGGGCCTCGTAATGCTTCCGCACGTGTGCGCCGCTCAGCGAGCGCCACGGGGCGTGCACAAAGTGGAAGTTCTCCTGCGGAAACCAGAAGGTACCCACCGCTACCCCCATGGACCTCTCCTGGGGTGCGCTCTGACCAGAGCTTCGAGGCGAAATCGAGCGGTGGCGACGAGGGCCTGCCAGGAGGTCCCAAACGGGACGGCACGAGGCAAGGGTAGCGGTATCGGTACCTTTTCCTCTTCTGCTGTCCCCCGACTTGAACACGCCCAGGTGCTCTCTCACGAAATGCACGTCGAAGTCGCTGAACTCGCTGGCGGCACCGAGGAGCAGTGCCGCACCGGGCGGATGGCGCGCCGCACTCTCCTGGAGAGCGGTCCTCGCGTCCACCACGGAGGCCGTTGGCTCGAGCTGCTCGGTGGAGGCGAGGAGGTCATAACAGCCCGACGACATGCTGAGCCGCAGGTGTGGGAACCTGCCGAACACGGAGGAGCGAAGCTGCAGAAAGTTGAAATCCATGCGGTGGTCTTCGATGTTCGAGATCTCCATGCGCACCACCGAAGAGAACCAGCCTCGGCGAAGGCGACGGCACAGCTCGTCCAAAGGATCGAACACCAAGCCCGTCCGCAACCTCCTCCTCGCCTCGTCCTCCGACTTCTCCGGCACGGCCCCCGCGGCGCTCGCGGGCGCGCCTGCTGCGAGCGCAGAGCCGTCGTCGGCGTCGTCACCGTCCTCCCTGGCTGGAGCCTGCAGGGGCGGAATGGACACAGGATGGAGGGGCCCGCGCCCGCACATTGGTAGAAGGGGAAACAGGAGAAGGAGAGGGAGCAGGAGGAGGAGGAGGAAGAAGAGGCGGAGGAGGAGGAGGGGGGGGAACGGAGGAAGGGAGGAAAGGAGGAGGAGGAGGAGGAGGAGGAGGATTCAGACATCCGACGCCGACGCTGTTTTGTTCTCAAAGTGGCTCCCCAGAGGTCTGGGCCCCCTTCTCTGGGACAGGTTTTTCATCCTGGATCGTTTTGTTGACGGTCCCCGGGGCCAGTGAGGAGCCAAAGAGGCCGAAAAAGAACGCCAGACCTCCGGCGGTGAAGTCGTCACGGCGCGAGGAGGTCCGGGGAGGAAAACAAAGGCGAGGAGGGAGGACGGACAAAGAGGTATGAAGGGGAGCTGGGACACACAAAAAAGTACACACAAATAAAAATATCCCCCATATTTCCCCATATTTCCTGGGTTTTTGTCTTCCCCCCCACTTCCCATATTTTCCCATGTTTTCTGGGGAATCGACGATTAATTGTGTCTGTGTGTTTTTTCCCCTCCTGAAGGTAGACTGGTAGCCAGCACTGCACCCGTGCCCCCACACGTGGCCTCGCCGGAAACAACATCCAGCAGCAGCTGCGCGCGGCGGCCGTGCAGTGGACGCGGAGGAGGGCCGCCCACCCCAGCGGCCAGAGGCCCCCTCCCTCTCCTCCTCCGCCTCTTCGGGAGCGGCCAAGAGGGGGGTGTCCAAGAGGGGGGGGCGCAAATCATGACCGGCGGCACGTGCGCGGCCCCGCGGGGGGGCCCGGGACGGCATGAAATAAGACGAGGCGCCACGAAATCTGGGGAGATCTCATGGCCCCCGCCATGACATCCACCACCACCCCTAGTCATCACCCCCCTCTTTTCCGCCCCCGACCTCTCCCTCCCTTCTCCGCCTCCCCGCGAGGCGGGGAACAAGTAGGCCGCATCTCGACGCCACGCCGTGCTGTTCTGCTGGGGCTCCCGCCGCCCCAGGCCTGGTCCGAGTCCATGAGCTCCCACCTCAGCGTGGAGACCCTGCCCATCGCCCGCAGGAGCGGCGGGTACCTGAGCCGACGGGGGGGGGGACATGGGGGCGAGGAGGAGGAGGAGGAAGAGGAGGAGGAGGAGGAGGAGGGACAATGATGGGAGGATGGACGAGGAAGAGGAAGGAGGAGAGAGGGAGGAGCAAGGACAGGGGAGCGAGCAAGGAGGCAGGAGGAGGGGGGAGAGGGGAGGCAGGAAGCAGGGGGCGGGAAGCAGAGCAGGGCAGGACGAAGGAAGGAGCGAGGAGAGAGGACGAGGCAGAAAGAGGAAGCAAGAAAGGAGAGGGCAAAAAGGCGGACGGAGGAAACAGCAAGTGCGAGAGGGGAGGAGGAAGGCGGGGCGGGGGAAGGCGGGAGGAAGGCGGGGGGAGGAAGGCGGGGGGAGGAGGGAGAGGAGGAGGAGGAGGAGGAGGAGGAGGAGGAGGAGGAGGAGGAGGAGGAGGAGGAGGAGGAGGAAGGCGGGCGGGAGGAGGAGGCGGAGGAGCAGGAGCAGGAGCAGGAGCAGGAGCAGGAGCAGGAGCAGGAGCAGGAGCAGGAGCAGGAGCAGGAGGAGGAGGGCGGGAGCGAGGAGGAGGGCGCCCGTCCGCGCGCCGCGTCACCAGGGGGTCCAGCACGCGCAGGCGCCGCAGCAGGGCCCCGCTCTCCCGCCTGCCCAGCACCAGCGGCTCCCACGCGGCGGCGTGCTCCAGGACGGCGCACCCCCCGCTGACCACCTCTCGCGGGGCGGGCCTCCCCGACTTGAGCAGGGACCGACCGTCCCGGCACTTCTATAGGCCTACCACGACACGCTCTTGGAACCCAGAAATGTTCCAAGAACCAAAACAATGTTCTTAGAACATATTTTCCCGATGTGCTAAAACAAGACAGTCCCAGCCAGAAATGATCCAAGAACATTTCGTGGAAACCACAAAAGGATCTCAGAACATTGTTTGGTGGGCCTACAGGCACGCCAGGACGCTTCGCCACTGCTTGAGCGACAGCCCCAGATCGCCGACGGCGCGACCCTTTCCACTGGGGATCGGCTCCCCGATGGTGGTCCAGGGGGCCCGCGAGATCGGGCCCCCGAGGCCCTCACAAACCGAGGCCAGCAAAGACGGGCCGGGAGCGAAAAGCTGCCCCCTGGGGCTGCGGATGCCATGACAGTGGACGCTCTAACAATCCCATCATTGCCTTACAACGGTGTTTGAAATGTGTAAACATCTGTCCTGAACATGCTTCAACATTCGTTCTACAGATTGTAGACATGCTTGAGACATTGTTTTAGACATCTGGACATTGTTTGGCAGCATGCTTCTTCTCCATCTAATCGCCTTCCACAACCCCTAGGGGACGGAGCGCGCGCCCCGACGGCCACCTCCTCGCGGGCCAGGGCCTCCCCCGGCCCGCGAGGCGCGCCGAGGGGCGGAGCGAGAGTCCAGTCGATTTGGAGGGGGGGGTCTCCCCCGGGACCGCCCGAGCGCGTCATGGGGGACAGGGGGCCCCAAAACAGGCCAAGAGGACCCCTATGAGGCTCTTGGGGCGGTCCACGAGGGCCACGAGTCGCTGAAAGATCGATCCAAAACGCCCACGCTAACCTCCAGACGGCCCAAGAGGCCCCCAAGACGCCCCAAGAAGCCCCCAAGAGGCGTCCCAAGAGGGCCTCCAGAAGCAAAAAAACGTCCCATTCAGCACATTCGTCTGTTGGGCGTTCACGACGTCCCAGACGGCCCAAGTGGCCTTCAAGATCGCCCCAAGACGGACAAAGAGGCCCCCAAGAGGGCTCCACGACGACCCAAGAGGGCCCCAAGACGGCCCAAGAAGCCCCTGAGACGGCCCAGGAGGGCCCCAGGACAGCCTCAAGAGGGGGCCCAGAGGGGGAACCCGAACGGACACTTCGAGTCTTCCACCCCCAGACGCCTCCAGGTTGCCCCGAGAAGCCCCCAACAGGCCCCCAGGGAGCCGCAAAATGGCCGCAAGAAGCCCCGAAGAGGCCCCCAAGAAGTTCAAAAACTGCCTCCAAGACGCCCCCGAGACGCCTCCCACGAGACCCCATCAGCCCTCCGAATGGCCTTAGACCCGCAATCCAGGCACGGTGGTGGGATGTGCCGAAGACCACTGTTGATTCATCACAGGGGTGCCTGGCGTGCTGAACACTTTCGGTTTGGGATTTGGTTCTTTTCCAAAAGAACTCCCCCTGGGGCTCTGGCGCGTCCCGCCGGGGTCCCGGGACGATCTTCAAGAAGCTCAATTCCCAAAAAATCCTCCAAGACGGTCCAAGATGGCCTCCAAGATGGCCACGTCGGCCCAAGATGGCCTCCTAGATGGTCCAAGATGGCCTTCAAGTCCGCCAAAGATGGTCCAAGATGGCCTCCAAGACGGCCGGCCCAAGGGGGTCCAGGAGACCTCCAAGTTCACCCAAGAAGCCTCCAAGACGGCCCAAGACGACCCAAGAGGTCTCCAAGAGGTCCTCCAGGAGGGCCCGAAGAGGCCAAAATCATTGATCGTCCGAAGATTTTTGAAGGATTTTGGCATTTGCCTCTTCTCGGCATTCCGACGGCTCAAGACGGCCCAGGAGGCCGCCAAGATCGCCCCAAGATCCCTCCAAGAGGGCCCCATGACGGCCCAAGAGGCCTCCAAGACAGCCCCAAGAGGGCCCCAAGACGGGCCAAGAGGCTTCCAAGACACCCAAGATGGCCTCCAAGACGGCCCCGAAGCGCCCCAAGAGGGCCACAAGCTGGTTAAGAGAGGCCCCCAAGACGGCTCCCGACGGCGTCAGACGGGCCAGGAACCCACCAAGATGGCCGAAGTTGGCTCGAAGCTGGCCCAAGACGGCCCAAGAGGCCTCCAAGAGGGCCTCCAGGAAGGCGCGCAAAGGCCAAATTCATTGATTTCCCATGAGTTTTTGAAGGATTGTGGCATTTGCTTCTTTTCGGCCCGAGACGGCCCAAGAGCCCCCAAAGATTGCCCAAATATCGCCCAAGAGACCTCCAAGATGGCCCCAGAACAACCCAAGAGGCCCCCAAGACGGCCCCAAGAGACCCCCAAGACGGCCCAGGAGGCCTTTCAGACGCCCAAGATGGCCTCCAAGACGGCCCTGGCGCATTCCAAGAGGGCCCCAAGTCGGTCCAGAGAGGCCCCCCTAACGGCTTCCGACGGCTTCAGACGGGCCACGAGCCCACCAAGACGGCCGAAGATGGCCCTAAGATGGCCCAAGACGGCCCAAAAGGCCTCCAAGAGGGCCTCCAGGAAGGCACGCAAAGGCCAAAATCATTGATTTCTCAAGAGTTTTTGGAAGGATTGTGGCACTTGCTTTTTTCAGCCTTCCGACGGCCCGAGACAGCCCAAGTGCCCCCAAAGATCGCCCAAGAGGCCCAAGACGGCCCCAAGAGGCCCCCAAGACGGCCCAAGAGACCTCCAAGACGCTCAAGATGGCCTCCAAGACGGCCCAAGAGCCCTCCAAGGCGTCCTCCAAGAAGGCCCGAAAGGGTCATGATGGCCTCCCGACGGCCAAGATGACCTTCAAGATGCCCACGTGCTCCCCGAAGGCTTTCCAAACCAATTCGGGGAACACATGGTCCGATAGCTTGGCAGGTCTGGCCTCGTTCGGCCACATAGGCGCTTCCAAAAAGACAGGCGGCGGTGATTTGCAGTAGGCGTCTTCGATCATTCTTCGGGTGTTTTGACAGATGCCCGCCGTCTGTATAATTACACGGGTTCTCGCCCGTGTCCCCATGCGTGCACGGCGAATACTGAGAATGTCAGCCCAAGAGCATAGGCCCCCAATATCGCCCCAAGACGGCCCAAGAGGCCCCGAAGAGGCCCCAAGACAGCCCGAGAGGCCCCCGAGACGGCCCAGAGACCTCCAAGACGGCCCTAAAGCGCCCAAAGAAGGGCCCATGAATTCACAGGGAGGGCCCAGAGGCGAAGAGGTCCCTTAGAAAATCCAAGACGGCTCCAAGAAGACCTCCAGGAGGCCAAAATCCTTGATGTTCCGTTGGTTGTTCGACGATTCCAGCGTTCTCGCCTTTTCGGGCTTCCGACACTCCAAGACGGGCCCACAGGGCCCCAAAATCGCCCCAAGACGGCCCAAAAGGCCCCCAAGAGGCCCGCAAGACGGCCCGCGAGACGGCCCCAGAGATTTTCAGGACGGCCCGAAAGCGGGCTCCAAGACGGCCTGCGAAGGCCAACAGGTCCCATAGAGGCCCCCAGAAGACCTTGAGAGGTCCCCAAGAGGCCCCAGGAGAACCCCACCAAAAGGCTCTCAGGAAGCCCCCAGGAAGCCTCAAGAGGGCCTCGATGGGGCCTCAAAATGTGTCCTCTTCTTGCTTCTCCCCCTTCTCATCACTCTCATCCTTTTTTCTTTCTCTCCCCAATTTTCTCCCAAGAGGTTCCACAACGGCCAGAGGAACACATAGTCCAATAGCTTGGCCAGACTTCGGCCGAACGGTTGGCCGCATGGGCGTTTCCAAAGGGCAGGGGGCGCCGGTGATTCGCCGCAGGCGTCTTAGATAACTACCAAGCATGCGTGTGCGAGAGCGTCTACGCCTGCCTATACGAGTGCAAATTCGAATACGACGGCTACGGCGACCACCACTGCTAACTTGCACTGCAATTCTGCCCCTGGCGCCTGCCCCAGCCGCGCCGTGTCCCGCGCCGGCAGGAACCCCGCGACCTGTGGCCAGCGCGCCGCAACTCCCGACCCTCTGGCGTCAATATGTTTGCCAAGGTCGCCCTGGCGAGGGCCGTCGCCGAGGCCCCCGCCAGAAACAGAAGCAGCAGCAGCAGCGGCAGCAACCGCAGCATCGCGTGCCGAGCGCCGCCGTGGGCACGATCTCGCACCCTGATGCATGCTCCCTCCGCCTCGGGCCACCCTGCTCCGCCACTCCACCCTCCATCCACCTCCCTCCTCTTTCCTCCCCGCCTCGATTCCCCGCTCTCCCTGGGTCCAGCGGGGGTGCAGATATGGCGTAAGCTACCCACACGCTGTCCGCCTTCCAGTTCGACTCGTTCGTAGAGGTCTGTGGGGTGCTAGCATTGAGCGGTGGCCTGTCTTGGGGAAACGGCAGGGCCCATCGGGCCGCCGCGGAGTCGGAAGGAGAGTTGCCTCGGGGAGGGCGACTCGCCGGATGGCCTCTCCAGTGCGTGAGCATCCACCCTGCCTCCAGACGACCTACAACGGCAGCAGTCCTCCCCCCCCACTCCCCCCCCTTCGGAGGTAATGCCTCGCCAGCCCCCCACGGACAGAAGAACGCTCTCCAGAACCATGAGGACCCCCGCTGGCCAAACTGAGGAGCATTCGAGGGCATGATCCCCCAGGATGCACAAGAATCGAGGAGACGTGAGACGCGGGCTCGGTGGACTCGGGCTCCAGCCTGAAATTTGACGCGAGCTCCCGCTGCGAGCACCCCACGAACACCCGACCGCCAAAGTCCAGGACGCGCTCGCCGAAAAGCGTCGGGCGTCGGCTGACTCGAGATCCGGCGCACTCGAGCCTTACGCCTCCCCAGAAGAACGCCCAACAAGCACGAAGAACACCAGGCTACCCTCCCCGAGCCGACCTCGATCCCACATCTCGGCTTGGCCGCACCCCGACGGCGCCACTGGCCCGAGCACGAGCAGCCTCCCGAAGCCACGGGCCGAGCCGAAGGCTCGCGCTGCTGCGCTCCGACAGGGGTGCCATCAAGGGCGCCTCGCCTCGCGCTTTGGGCTGTGCGAAGGCGCGCGGCGCGAAGCGCGAAGCGCGAAGCGCGAAGCACGAATCGTTTCGCGCTTCGCGCCGCCAGCCAGGGAGAAGAGGAGGATGAGGATGCGCGGTTTCCCCTTGGGCCGTAGGCGACCCGAGGAGGAGGAGGAGGAGGAGGAGGAGGAGGAGGAGGACGAGGGAGGAGGAGGAGGAGGTGAAAGAGGGGGAGGGCAAGGAGGAGGAGGAGGAGGACGAGGAGGAGGAGGAGGAGGCAGGACAAGGAGGAGGAGGAGGAGGAGGACGACGAGGAGGGAGGAGGAGGAGGGAGGAGGACGAGGAGGATGAGGAGGAGGAGGAGGAGGAGGAGGAGGAGGGCGGGTCGCCTAAGCCCTTCAGAGAAACCCTCAAGGAATCGGGGCCGAACCGCGAAGCACGGAGCGCGAACGACTTCGCGCTCTCGGGAGCGCCCTCTTGTGCCACCCCGCCTCGTGACGGCGCCCCACTCGACGGCGACAATATAGGACGTCGAAGGCGTCGTGATGTCGTAGTACTCTACCTCGCGTCTTCAACAACATCGCTGCACCGACCTTGCAGACGTGCTGCGGCGGATTGTTGCGTGGATTTCTTTCAAGGCAAAACCCAAAACGGCGGGCAAACAACGAAGTGGATTTCACGTGGGATTGTTGTTAGGTCTTCGTTCCTACCCAAGAAAAATCCACATGAAATTCACTTCGAAATCCGGAATGAAATTCTACAGGGCACTCTGGGCCCATCCCATTGTTTCCGTACGAAGTCGAAGTCCACTCTGTGATGTTGGCGCCATGAACAGCAACAACAACAACAACAACAATCATTTTACCCGAACGCTCAGTGTTCTCCCCAGTGCCAGGGTTTTCTTGCGACACCAGCCAATACCCCCACTTCGTGGGGGGGCCGTTCAAGCTCTACCAAATATCCAAACGACTCTTCGAGACCACCCACACCCAGCTTCCCGCCCTATGACGTTGGGACACTTCACTTCGTGGCGTGCGGACGACCCTGGCTACTACACTGGCGTGGGGTACACACCCACAGAGGTTGATCACATCTGTTACATATGATGTGGTACACGGTACACGTGAGATGGTACGCAGTGCCAAGATAGTTGGTCACATTTTTGGGGCAAATTCGTGGGGATGCGATTACAGAAGTACATGTGTTACACTGATGTTATACAGTCCCAAGGATGACGCATGCATTGCTCATAGACTCATGGCGCTATGATCCTAACTCTCAGTGCCCAACGCGCGCGTGCACAGCCAGACGGAGGGAGAGAAACACATGTATACAAGGTTCGTGACATACGCACGGTCCACCATGTTGTAAACGATCGCATGCACGGTAAGTTCTGAAATTATACGTATGTACAAGCAGACATGCGAGGGAGAAAGGGAGATGGCCATCGACAGTTCCAATACGGCTCCAAGGCGGAAGAGGGGGAGGAGGAGCAGGACAAGGAGGAAAGGAGAGAAGCGAGAAAGGAAGAACGCAGACGGCGCGGCTCTGGACACAAAGGGGTGCCATACTTTCTCCTGCTTTCGCAAACAGGTCCAGTCACACGTAGGGGTATACTCAACCGAATGGTCTTCGCATCCAGAAGCATACTAAAGGCGCGACGCA